GTTGACCAGGATGGTCTCGATCTATTGACCTCGTGATCCACCCGCCTCGGCCTCCCAAAGTGCTGGGATTACAAGCGTGAGCCACCGCGCCCGGCCTAACTCCTGACCTTATGATCCGCCTGCCTTGGCCTCCCAGAGTGGTAGGATTACAGGCGTGAGCCACCGCACCCAGCCCCCATTGCTTCTATTTCCTTAGTAACATGGTGGCTAGGTCATCAGTTAAGATGAGAGGGGTAGACGTTTTGCAGAGACAGCCTAGGGAAAAAGTCTTCTTGAGAGTAGAAAAGCAAACTTAAAGGGGTAATGTAGTAGGAGCTGCCAGGCAGTATTGACAGTCTGTTTGAAATTAGGATCGTAAGCACTAAGTGAAGATAACCTGCCTGGTAGTCTGATTGTGCTTAGTGAAAGCACTGGGAAGACAAATGGTTAAATTTATGCAGAGTATGGGTTTGCCAGGCAAGCATAACAGGAAGAACAGGGAAGGAGTAGTTATAGTGATGGATGATGGACAAGCTAGAAAAGGCCTGGCATGATGGCTCTGTAATCTCAGCACTTTGGGAGGCCGAGGTGGGAGGATTGTTTGAGCCCAGGAGTTCAAGACCAGCCTGGGCAACATGGCAAAACCCTGTCTCTATCAAAAATACAAAAATTAGCGGGCATGGTGGCATGTGCCTGTAGTTCCAGCTACTTGGGAGGCTGAGGTGGGAGAATCAGGAGGCAGAGGTTGCAGTGAGCCAAGATGGTGCCACTGCAATCCAGCCTAGTGACAGAGCAAGACCCTGTCTTCAAAACAAAAAACAAAACAAAACAAAAAAAGAAAGGATAGAAAAGAAGGGATGTGAGTGAAAATCAGGATTACTATTATATTATTTAAAAGATGGCCAAGCATGTGGCTCATACCTGTAATCTTAGCACTTTGGGATGCTGAGTTGGGTGGATCACATGAGGTCAGGAGTTCGAGACCAGCCTGGTCAACATGGAGAAACCCCATCTATACTAAAAATGCAAAAACTAGCCGGGTGTGGTGGGGGGTGCCTGTAATCCCAGCTACTGAGGAGGTTTGAGGCAGGAGAATAGCTTGAGCCTGAAGGTGGAGGTTGCAGTGAGCCGCAGTTGTGCCACCATACTCCAGCTTGGGTGACAGAATGAGACTCCATCTCAAAGAAAAAAAAATACAAAAGACAAGTATTGACTTGGATGCAGAGAAAAGGGAACTCTTGCACCCTGTTGGTAGGAATGTGAATTAGTATAGAAACAGTATGGAGGTTCCTCAAAACATTAAGAATAGGCCGGGCATCGTGGCTACACCTGTAATCCCAGTACTTTGGGAGGCCAAGGAGGGCCAATCACGAGGTCAGGAGTTCCAGACCAGCCTGGCCAACATGGTGAAACCCCATCTCTACTAAAAATACAAAAAATTTGCTTGGCCTGATGGCGGGTGCCTGTAATCCCAGCTACTCAGGAGGCTGAGGCAGGAAAATTGCATGAACCAGGGAGGTGGAGGTTGCAGTGAACCAAGATGGCACCACTGCACTCCAGCCTGGGCACCAGTGCGAGACTCTGTCTCAAAAAAAAAACAACAAACATTAAGAGTAGAACTATAGTATGATCCCGGAATCCCAGTACTGAGTATATATCCAAAGGAAGTGAAATTATCATGTCAAAGAGATATTTGCACTCCCATGTTCACTGTGGCATTATTCACAATAGCCAAGACATGGAAACAACCACAGTGCCCAACAACACATGAATGGATAAAGAAAAATGTGGTACATATAGATAATGGAGTACTATTCAGCTATAAAAAAGAAGAAAACTGTCATTTGCGACAACATGGATGAAACTGGGAGATGTTATGTGAAACAAACCAGGCAGAAAACAAGAAATACTGCATGATTTCACTTACATTTAGAGTATAAAAAAGTCAAACTAAGACCAAGAATCATGGCTCAGACCTGTAATGCCATCCATTGCTTTGGGAGGCTGAGACAGGAGGATCCCTTGAGACCAGGAGTTTGAGAGTAGCCTGGGCAACACAGGGAAATCCTGTCTCTACGGAAAAGAGTAACAAACAATTAGCTAGAGATGGTGGCATGCACCTGTGGTCCTAGCTATTCAGGAGGCTGAGGCAGGAGGATCCTTTCAGGCCAGGAATTTGAGGCTACAGTGAGCTATGCTGGTGCCATTCCACTCCAGCTGAGGCAAAAGAATGAGACCCTGTGTCAAAAACAAAACCAAAAAGTCAAACTCATAGAAATAGAGAGTAAAGCCGGGCGCGGTGGCTCATGCCCGTAATCCCAACACTTTGGGAGGCTGAGGTGGGTGGATCACAAGGTCAGGAGTTCAAGACCAGCCTGGGCAACATGGCAAAATTCTGTCTCTACTAAAAATACAAAAAATTAGCTGGGCATGGTGGC